GTCGTACAGTATGCCCATAGGACTTCGGGTAGGATTTCCTTCCATTTTCCTTTGGCGTCAGTTAACCTCTTTTTGAGGTTTTGGAGTATGGTTTTGTTGGTCGATTCGGCTTGTCCGTTTTCACCAGGGTGATAAGGTGTTGACAGGATCCTTTTGATCTTATGATCCTCGAGAAACTTGGTCACTTTACTGCCGATAAATTATTTCCCGTTGTCACATACGATTTCGGACTGCATTCCGAACCGACATATGATGTGGTCCCAAATGAAGTCGATGACTTCCTTCTCCCTAACCTTCTCGTACGCCTGGTATTCAACCCACTTAGAAAGATAGTCAGTCATAAATAGTATAAATTGAGCCTTACCGGGTGCCCATGGAAGAGGGCCAATGATGTCCATTACCCACTTCATGAATGGCCATGGTGACAAGACCGAATGCAGCAGCTCCCCGGGATGGTGAATCATCGGAGCATGTCTTTGGAATTCATCACATTTTTGTAAGAACTCCTTCGCGTCTTTTTCCATGTCGATCCAGTAATAGCCGGCTTTGATTACCTTTCGAACCAATAATTCGGCACCTGAATGATTTTCGCAGGTGCCCTCGTAGACTTCCCTCAGAATGTACTCGATATCTCCTTTAAATGCAAATGCTTTAAATGGTCCTCTGCTCGCAGGGACTTAACCAATATATCGTCAATGTAAACTTCCATGGATTTCCCTATTTATTCTTCAAACATCCAGTTTATTAGGCGTTCACAAGTGGCACCGGCATTTTTTTTAACCCAAATGGCATCATGTTATAGCAGTGTGTGCCATGCATAGTGACGAATGAGGTCTTTTCCTGATCATCCGTATTTGGTTGTACCCAGAGTAGGCATCGAGAAAACTGGGGTTCTTGTAGCCGGTCGTGGCATCGATCATGCGATCGATGTTGGGCAAAGGGAAAGATTCCTTGGGACATGCCTTATTTAAATCTTTATAATCTACACACATTCACAGTTTGTTCCCTTTTTAGGGACTACTACTACGTTTGCTAACCATTCTGGGTATTTGATTTCCCGGATGGACTCTATTTTAAAGAGTTTAGTTACCTCGTCCTTGATTAAAGCATGTTTGATCTCGGACTGGGGTCTCCTTTGCTGCTTGATCGGGTGGAATTTCGGGTCCAGGCTCAGCTTTTGAGTGATTATCTCCGGTGGGATCCCTGTCATGTCGAGATGGGACCAAGCAAAACAATCTATGTTAGCTATGAGAAATTGAATGAGTTTTTTCCTGAGCTTGGGGGTTAACCCCGTGCCTATGTATACCTTCCTATCGGGTACATGTTCGATCAATGTGACTTTCCTCAGCAATTCGACCGTTGATTTTGTAGCATCGGAATCATCGGGACTATAAAAGATCTGGGAACCCCGTAATCATCATCTTTATCGGTCCCCTGTTTATCCGATTGGGTCGTGGCTGGGGTCGATAATTGCTATTTAGTTTCCTGCTTTGTATTCGAATTTGGTTCCTTCGATGTCGCCAGTGTTGATACCGGAATCACTTCTTCGACTGCAAACATTTCCTTTGCTACCGGTTGCTCCCCGTAGATCGTTTTAATCCCTCCTAGCGTTGGGAATTTTAACACCTGGTGAAGAGTCGAGGGCACTTCCCTCATGTTGTGGATCCATGGCCTCCCGAACAGGGCATTATACCTCATGTCTCCCCCCAATCACATAAAACTTGGTTTTCTGGATGGTCCTCGCTGTGTTTACTGGTAATTTTATTTTTTCTTTAGTAGTTTCACAAGCCATGTTGAATCCGTTTAGCACTCGGCTGCAGACACGATTTGGTCCTGTAGGCCGAGCTGTTCTACGACCCTCGATCGAATGATGTTGGCCGAGTTACCTGGATCAATTAACACATGTTTAACTCGAGATTTATTCATGAGTACAGATATTACCAGTGCATCGTTATGGGGCTGCACGATTTCTTCTGCGTCCTCGTCGCTAAAAGACAAAGTTCCTTCTGGTATGTAATCTCGTGTCCGTTTCTCCCTTGTGATGGATACTTTGGTGCGCTTTAACATCGGACCTTGAGGAACATCGACCCCTCCGATGATCATGTGAATGACGTGTTGAGGTTCTTCTTGCTCGGTTTGTTTATTAGAATCCCTATTTCTGAAATGATTCTTGGCTCAGTCACTCGGGAATTCTCGAAAATATCCGTTGTTAAATAACTGGGCTACCTCCTTCCTCAACTGTCGGCAACCTATGTTCTGTGGCCGTGAGTGCCATGATATTTGCACATCTGGTTTGGATCCCTTTGGGCTTGGTCGGATTGTAGAAGTCGAGGCCATTTGGCATCTTTGATGCGTCCAATAGCAGATACAATGGCAGCAGCATCAACGTTAAAGTTATATTCTGATAACCTTGGTGCCTCTTTAGGTCCGATAGGCCTGTCGAAACCGTTCTTGCTCATGAGTCCCCACTGCCCTGGCCTCGGTCATTTCTCCTTTCGTTTCACATAGAACCCCGTCAGGACCCACTATTTCTTCGATCCTCACTGTACGGCTGCTACTGATCCCTGTTCGGCGTTGGTTCACGATTGATATCTCTCTTGACTCTGTCGATGGGTCTAACAGGATAAATGGACCCGGAAGGAGCCCCCAGTTGATCATCTTCGACTCTAATCTTTGATTGATATCGGTTATGCACATCAGCCAAGTGACAGCCAGATATTCTATCATATTCTGCTTCAACTGATGTGAAGCCACCGAACTTCGAATATTGACTCCTTGGGTAAAAGCTTAAATGGCTCAATCATCAGCGACCGGTGACAGGTCGATCTGTTCCATTTAAAACCGAGATACGAACTCTCTGAGCATTTCATTATCCTTTTGCCTTACTTTGAAGAGGTCTGATTTCCTGGTTTCAACCTTGATAGCCCCAGCGTGTGCTTTCATAAAAGAGTCTACAAGTATAGCAAATGAGTCAATAGAATTAGGAGGTAAGTTGTGATACCATATCATAGCTCCCTTTGAGAGGGTTTCTCCAAATTTCTTCAGCAAGACAGACTCGATTTCATCATTCTCCATGTTGTTTCCTTTAATGGCGCATGTGTATGAAGTGACATGCTCGTTTGGGTCAGTCGTTCCGTTGTACTTAGGAATCTCGGGCATGTGGAATTTTTTAGGAATCGGCTTTGGAGCCACACTCAGAGGGAAAGGTTTCTGTACAAACTTCTTTGAATCTAAGCCTTTCAATATCGGCGGCGCTCCCGAGATCTGATCGACCCTGAAATTGTAGGTTTCCACATTTTTGTCGTTTGCTTCGATTTTCTTCTCCCCTAATTCTATTCGTTTTGTCAGCTCCTCGAGCATTTTTATGATCTCGAGGTTATTACCCGGCTCGTTCCCACTCGACCTTTCCGCGACTGATTCCTCCCTGCGAGTGATCTCTCGAGATGGATCGGGCTCGATCCTGCTCGGTATGCAGCTCTGGTTTTGTAACTGAGCTATCCCCACATGTTGAGCCTGTAACATTTCGAAGATCATTCATAGATTGATCCCGGCTCATCCATTATTTTGAGTATTTTGTGTTGTCGATCGAGCTCTACCACGGATGCTATTCTCGGGGTCAATAGGGAGGCTTGTGTCGATAGCCATATGCGAATTAGCATCTAACGGGTCCGCAATTGGAATTCCGACGGGATCAACGGGCGGTACCTCGTTACCGGGCGCTATGTTATTGTTTTCACCATGGTGACCAGACTCATCGTCAGCAGGTAGAGGTTTTAACTGTGTGTTTGACATTTTGAGCTTAAGCCTGAAATCAGAGACATTTCAAAGAATAAGTGTAAAATAGTGTGTGTTATGGAAATTTGTATCAAATAACTACTATTATCCTTAGCCCCACGGTGGGCGCCAAACTGTTTACCCTTAAAATCGGATAACAATTGAATTTATACGCGGTTTTAAGAATACATGATCTAACTTGATACAATTGAGAAATCAAATTACTATTGAAATTAATGATAGAAAAGTAAATGCAAACCACACAAGTTGAACAATCTTGGCCTTAAAGGTTGGTCACCCTCGAGTCAAAAATGCCTTAATCGATACCGGAACAGAATGATGTGATAATAAGAACTAGTAATAACAGTATATTGCTTTGGAATGCGTGTTATAATGTGTCCAATGAATTATTAGACCCCCCTTTATGTAGTAGAGGAGTCCTACTCTAGGTACATTTCTATAAAAGGTAAAAATCTCTTGATTTGCTAATTGTCGGTTCCTTGCCGATATGCGTCGAGATTCTTGCAGTAATATCTGCCCGGTCACGGATGTTTCGGTCTTTCGTTTGTTATTTCTGAGCTCGCTCGAGATAAGGTGGATACCGGACTCAACGTTCCTCGAAGGCAGGTCTTCCGACCTCAGGTTCTAGCTCAGTGAAACTCGAGGTCAATCTCCAGTCCGTGGTCGCCACGTTCTAAGCCAAATCTACCAAGTTGTACAGTCGAGCTCGACTTCGACCGTATACAACTTCTAAGTTGTATTATGCAAATTCTTTTCGAAGAAACAAGGAAACATGTGCACATCTGCTATTTGACCATGTTCATTGGGAAAATCTCGTGGGCACCTCAGTTAATAGACCCCTCATGTGCTTATTAACTCAACAATAGTTGATTCCCCAAAAGATTAATGAATGTGTCGCTCTAGACTCGTCAGAATACTAATTGGTACCTAACTACAGAAGGTATCTATCGCTTACTTTTGGATAGGTATGGAGGAGCGATCTATTTGACCTTTGATTTTTAGGGACTTGCCACAAGTACCAAAGTAAGGTACGTTGATTCAAGAAATAACAGAAATGAGTCTTGAAATTGGAATTTTTGGAAACGAAGAAGGTAAATAGTGAAGAGTTGACAAAACTTAAAAGAAAAATATTTTAAGGAAGAGATCCTACACCTTTTATATATATATATATATAGTCTCCCAATCATGTGGTGACAAGATTTAGCTGTTGACTGACAAATGGCAAATCAAACTTTGAAAACATTCTTAAATACAACTCTAATTATTTCAACAATCTAGGTCTCACTACATTTTACAACATAACTAACAATAAGTTGAAGTATAGAAGACAAAAGGAAATTTTCCAAATGCTCTGTGATCAATGAACACAATTGGTCATAGAGATATATAGCATCAGGATAAGCTAACATTCAGTTTAAGAACAATAAAACTCATTAAAATCTGCTTCGGGTTTCAGCATCGGCCATTTGGCGAGACTCTTAGGCTTGTTTTGGGGATAGGTCGACTGGTTTGTAAAATAATGTGTTTATATTACTCTTGAGTCCCTCTGGAGAGCGAAACTCATTGCCGTTTGAGTATAGAATATGAGCTACTTTGCTCGTGTTCCAAAACAGATCTTTGCATACTTGCGGCAACTGACTGCTTTCTTTCTTATGAAGCACCAGTCTCAGCAATTTTCTTCTGTTCATCTCCAGCATTTCTTTTACCTGTTCTACTGCCTCTTCTTCCGAAACCGTTCCTTCACTTTGTGTTACGAGTATGTTCACTATGTTACTTGACCTCTCTTCTTTTTCTTTCTGCAACCAAAAGATATTGTTAAATAGATATTTACTGTGTAACCGGTAAAGTTGCTGCCATTTGACCGGGAGGTCGCGAGTTCGAGCCGTTAAAATAGCCTCCTGTAGAAATGCAGGGTAAGACTGCGTACAATAGACCCTTGTGGTGTAACCCTTCTCGGGACCCCGCGCATAGCGGAAGCTTAGTACACCGGGATGGATGTTATATATTTATAGTGTAACTACCAAATGAATGAAGAACTCACCTTGTAAGTTTGAGTGTCATTAAGGAGTCTACACACCATAGTTGTACATTTGCATATTTCCCCAAGTTCAGCACTTTTTATAACCTCCTCCGAAAGTTTTGGCGCGAGAACATATTGTGTTGTAAAAAGAATAGCTTTGACAGCTATAGTAACACAGGCAATTGACAAATATTCTTCTACACTTGGTGTATTCTCTTCTCTCCACCATTCTACTTCTCTCATCATGCAATTCAGAACATCAAGAAACTGTCCAGAGTATATCACTCCTTTCAATTAGAAGCAAATGAGAGAAATCACTAACCAAAAAATAAATTACCAGACTATAGCGTACCAAGTCAAATATTTGATCTTTCACACATCGACCTTGCATAATCTCTGCCTTGGCTGCAAACTCATTAAATGTTTTGTATATTGCTAAAAATAAAATTTCAACTCTCTCTGAAACGTAGCCTATGGTTGAATACCGATTCCAACTGTAAATAGATAAAGTTATGTAACAATTCTAAAAAATAAAGAAAAACTATGGATTGAAAGACAAAGGAACTGATTTTTTGGAAAGAATAAAGAGAACGAAAACTGTTATAGTACCCTTTTACTAATTCGATTAGGTTGAGCAGCTCCTCTTGGGAAGCCAATTCATCGAAAAAATCATCCAATGGAGTTGTGAGCAAAACGTATTTTGCAAACACGGAACGAGCATCCGAGAATTCAGGCCCGAAGAGTAATGAAGACATTGGCATATATGAAGTGTATATATATTTTGGTGAAATTCCTAATTGGTCTAGTTTGCAATCTTCATACCACCTACAGAAAGTTTGAATAAATAAAAAAACTAAATGATAGTAAAACATATTGGGGAGCAATTAGCGTCTAAGTATGTCATGTTCGATTCAAGAAAGCTGGTAGTGATACCTCTTGAGTTCTTGAATATCTTGCTGGTGTACGGTTTGGCATATATTAAAATCATGCATAGAGAATAGTATGAAATCCCTGTTGTATATGTTGGGGGACCTAAGAGAAAGAAAACAATAAATTGCATTGTTAGAAATGGCAGGAACCTATAAAGCAATTTTATAAAATGACACCCGGAAACTACTCGTAAATGAAGTTTAGGTATAAATCAATCCTAAAAGCTAGCTCATAAGGTGAAAATACACTGAGAACTAGACATTAGGAACATAGACAACGTGATATTTGGAGCCCAACATTGGGTACACAGAATAGGGATAATGGTTTGACCTTGATACCATGTAAAGAAAATGAGCCTACCTCAATTCTACAAGCTAGCTCATGAAGTGAGAATCGTCGAATATCATATAAGAGACTGTAATTATGACCAATATTTAGCTAATGGAGTCGATCTCACATAACCATAAGTATCTTTGCAAAATGTAGATTTTGTTGACAATATTCTTTGGGACCTAAAAATATTGTATTGTGTGGTGGACATCATTTGCACAAGTTGTATCTCTTCTTTTACACCTAAGAGGCCAAGACTTTTTTGCCTATAAAAGGGAAGGTCATTAGTTCATTTTAGACACACCAACAAGACTTAAGTCTTCATTTCTTGTTTCTTTCTTTTCTCCTTTATTAAGAGTATTTTGTATGAGAGTTAGTATTGGGAAGCACTTGTGTGAACCCTTTCTTTGCAGTGATCTTGTGAGTTATTCTCTTAGGGTATTTGGAATTAATTAGAGTATTTACTCTAATTTTGTACTCTTGTTGGTATAGTGAAATTGCCCCTCTCCGCTTGTGGACGTAGGTCACTTTGACTGAACCACGTTAAATTTGTGTCTTCTTTATATGCTTTAATTGCCGTTGTTATTAACTTCCATTGTCTTTGTTATTATCATTATACCGTTGTTTGGCTAAATTTTACACTACCCGAGTTCCCGATTCTAACAAATTGGTATCAGAGCCGGATCTAACCGGGTTTGTTTTAGTAGCCAATATGACTTTAACAAAAACTTATGTTGAGAAATTTGATCGAAGTGCTAACTTCGGAATGTGACAATTAAAGATGGAAGCTATCCTAATTCAGGATAGCTTAGATTTGGCGTTGCAAGGAAAGGAGAAAAAGACCGATAAAATGACGGATGAGGAGTTTGCCGTCATAGACAAAAGGGCAAAAGAAGGTATCATTTTAAATCTCTCAAATAAGGTTTTACGTGAAGTTTCTGTAGAAACCACAACCAAAGACATGTGAAAAAAATTGAAAACCTTATATATGAAGAGGACGGTGAAAAATCGACTTTACCTGAAGCAGAAGCTTTATACAATTCGTATGAGTGAAGGTACCTCTATTCTCTCTCATCTTGACACCTTTGATCCCATTCTTATGGATTTGAGTAATATAGATGCTAAAATTAAAGATGAGGATCAAGCCGTGTTACTGCTTTGTTCTCTACATCCATCTTTTAAGCATATATGCGATATTATGCTTTATGCAAAGAATAATATCTCTTATAAGGATATTAAATTTATCTTAAAATCAAAAGAACAGATAGATAGTGATATTACTGGGGAAGCTAGTGGAACTCAACCGGAAGTTGGCTTGTTTGTTAGGAGCAAATCCGACTCCATATCCAGATACTATAATTTAAGAGTGTCGCTATTGTCATATGAAATGTCACATTATCTCTGAATGCTATAAACTGAAAAATAAAGAAAAGCATAAAGAAAGAAAAAATGAGCACAAAAATACTGACACCGCCAAAGCTAGTGTAGCAATTGATGAGATTGAGGGAACTATATTTTTAGCAACTAAAACTAGTTTTAGATTAGACAATGAGTGAATTTTAGATTCCGGTTGTTCATATCATATGTGTTCTAGCAAAGACTTGTTTTCTACATATGATTCAGTTGCAGGTGAAGTTGTCCAATTGAGTAACAATGTTACTTGTAACGTTATTGGCAAATGTACAATTCGGATCAAAATGCATGATGGTGTGGTGAGAACTCTCACCGATATTATATATGTTCCTGAGTTGAAGAAAAATCTCATATCTTTGGGCACTTTAGAATCCCTTGGGTGCAAATTCACTAGTGAAGGTGGAGTTTTGAAAAATTTTCAAGGTGCTCTTGTGATCATGAAAGCACACAGATTTGGTTCGTTGTATACTTTATTGGGCTCCACTGTTGTAAGTCATACTACAGTTTCGGTATCAGACAACTTGTCTGATTTTGATGGCATTAAATTTTGACATATGCCCATTGTGGCTTTTGCGGAGAAGGTGGAGCAAACTTACTATATCAGCTAAAATTACGCCAAGGTGGAGATTTATAATTATGGCCAATATTTTGGCTAATGGAGTTCATCTCACATAAGCATAAGCATCTTTGCAAAGTGTAGGCTTTGTTGGCAATATTCTTTGGGATCCAAAAATATTGTATTGTATGGTGGACATTATTTGCACAAGTTGTATCTCTTCTTTTACACCTAAGAGGCCAAAACTTTTTTTGCCTATAAAAGGGAAGGCCATTAGTTTATTTTAGACACACCAACAAGATTTAGAGTCTTCATTTCTTGTTTCTTCCTTTTCTCCTTTATTAAGAGTATTTTGTATGAGAGTTAGTGTTGGGAAGCACTTGTGTGAACCCTTTCTTTGGAGTGATCTTGTGAGGTTATTCTCTTAGGGTATTTGGGATTAATTAGAGTGTTTACTCTAATTTTGTACTCTTGTTGGTATAGTGAAATTGTTTCTCTCCGCTTGTGGACGTAGGTCACTTTGACCGAACCACGAAAAATTTGTGTCTTCTTTATATGCTTTAATTACCGTTGTTATCAACTTCCATTATCTTTGTTATTGTCATTATACCGTTATTTGGCTAAATTCCGCATTATCCTGTTTCCCGATTCTAATAAATTAAGGTGGAGTTTTGAAAATTTTTCAAGGTGCTCTTGTGATTATGAAAGCACACAGATTTGGTTCGTTGTATACTTTATTAGGCTCTACTGTTGTAGGCCATACTACAGTTTCGGTATCAGACAACTTGTCTGATTTTGATGGCATTAAATTTTAACATATGCCCATTGTGGCTTTTGCGGAGAAGGTGGAGCAAACTTACTATATCAGCTAAAATTAGGCCAAGGTGGAGATTTATAATTATGACCTATATTTTGGCTAATGGAGTTCATCCCACATAAGCATAAGCATCTTTGCAAAGTGTAGGCTTTGTTGGCAATATTCTTTGGGACCCAAAAATATTGTATTGTATGGTGGACATCATTTGCACAAGTTGTATCTCTTCATTTACACCTAAGAGGCCAAAATTTTTTTTACCTATAAAAGGGAAGGCCATTAGTTCATTTTAGACACACCAACAAGACTTAGAGTCTTCATTTCTTGTTTCTTCCTTTTCTCCTTTATTAAGAGTATTTTGTATGAGAGTTAGTGTTGGGAAGCACTTGTGTGAACCCTTTCTTTGGAGTGATCCTGTGAGGTTATTCTCTTAGGGTATTTGGGATTAGTTAGAGTGTTTACTCTAATTTTGTACTCTTGTTGGTATAGTGAAATTGTTTCTCTCCGCTTGTAGACGTAGGTCACTTTGACCGAACCACGATAAATTTGTGTCTTCTTTATATGCTTTAATTACCGTTGTTATCAACTTCCATTATCTTTGTTATTGTCATTATACCGTTATTTGGCTAAATTCCGCATTACCCTGTTTCCCGATTCTAACAAATTAAGGTGGAGTTTTGAAAATTTTTCAAGGTGCTCTTGTGATCATGAAAGCACACAGATTTGGTTCGTTGTATACTTTATTGGGCTCCACTGTTGTAGCCCATACTACAGTTTCGGTATCAGACAACTTGTCTGATTTTGATGGCATTAAATTTTGACATATGCCCATTGTGGCTTTTGCGGAGAAGGTGGAGCAAGCTTACTATATCAGCTAAAATTAGGCCAAGGTGGAGATTTGTAATTATGATCAATATTTTGGCTAATGGAGTTCATCTCACATAAGCATAAGTATCTTTACAAAGTGTAGGCTTTGTTGGCAATATTCTTTGGGACCCAAAAATATTGCATTGTATGGTGGACATCATTTGCATAAGTTGTATCTCTTCTTTTACACCTAAGCGGCCAAGACTTTTTTTGCCTGTAAAAGAGAAGGCCATTAGTGCATTTTAGACACACCAACAAGACTTAGAGTCTTCATTTCTTGTTTCTTTCCTTTTCTCCTTTATTAAGAGTATTTTGTATGAGAGTTAGTGTTGGGAAGCACTTGCGTGAACCCTTTCTTTNTTTGGAGTGATCTTGTGAGGTTATTCTCTTAGGGTATTTGGGATTAATTAGAGTGTTTACTCTAATTTTGTACTCTTGTTGGTATAGTGAAATTGTTCCTCTCCGCTTGTGGACGTAGGTCACTTTGACCGAACCACGTTAAATTTGTGTCTTCTTTATATGCTTTAATTGTCGTTGTTATCAACTTCCATTGTCTTTGTTATTGTCATTATACCGTTGTTTGGCTAAATTCCGCACTACCATGTTCCCGATTCTAACAGAGACAATACCACATTTCCTCAGTGACATTTAACGAATCTATCTTTGAAGTAATTACAATGTAGCTTCGAGGAATTTCTACTTGGATGCGAGTCCTGTTAATTGATTGTCTATCTATTCCTATTGTCCATACTCTTTTTTTTTTAACAAAAGTCCACCATTGGTGGAATTGTCCATACTACTTTTACATTATTACGATAAATCCAGGCGTGCACATACATTGTTGTTTTAGATAAATAAAAAATGGAGAAGATTTTGTTTTATGGTCCATCACAACTGTTATTTTAATTATAAGACCCTGTTCAAAGGAGATTAGTTAAAAATAACACAAGATATTTGTAAACTAAACATGAGATCTTTGTACCAAATTGTAAGTGAATATAAGAGATTATTTCATCTGAAAAAACGGATAGAAATAATAGCGAACAGAGACATGTATGAGTCCAGAGAACCGAACCTTTACCTGTAAGCTGTTTTTGAAAATTTGAACATATT